CGCCAAGCCGGCAGCTTTGAGGGTTAATGCTTCCCCGGCGTCCTCATCCAAGTCCTCCCCGGGTTCTTCACCCAATGCCTCCCCGGATTCGTCCTCTTCTCCAAGCCTGATGAAGAGGACCCTACCTGAGGAGGATGAATTTGTGAAGAATGCCATAAGGAGGCGTCCTCGTCTTAATGAGGACGAGAAGAATGCACTCGTGGATGCCAAACTGGCATTGATGAACGACACCATGAAATCTCTTGAAGAAGAGAAGGAACAGAGGGACACCTTCTTCGAGATTGAGAAAAGAAGAAGCAAGAATTGGAGGTTAAGGTTATTGAGCTCCAGCTCAAGAAGTTAGAGAGGGAAGCGGAAGAGAAGTAAGTGTTAAGTAGCTATATTTAATTCTTATGTTTAAAATATTTTTTTCATTTCAGTATTAACATGGTGGAGGTGGGCGAACTGGCTGTTTGGCACGCATGATTTCAACTTGCTTCATGTGGTTTTCATGCTTCTAAACAAAGCAGAAAAACAACAGGAAACAAGATGTCGTCACTTCTATGCTGGATGTGATTGAGTGCTACAATGTTAAAAAAAGTTGTAAAATTACGACAAATTTCTTACAAAATTTGTCGTTTAAAAACAACATGGTTGTTTCAACAGAAAACGAAAGCAACATTCATTAACAGTAAGCTTGTTTTAGTACGACAAATCCGTTTAATGATGGAAAGATTCATTCTTAGGCAAAACTACATTGGTATCGTATTAGAAGGAACTCATTGTTTTAAAACGAAAGAAAATATTTCTCAACGAATAAATCGTTATTTTACAGAAAAAAAAGAAAAATCGACTACTATTCTTAACTTTCAATTTTGTGCTCAGATTGAGAAATAATGCACATTCCTAATATCTTCTCTAGTTATTTCTGCTTTGATATGACATGAGTTGTTTTCTCTGTTTTGATGAAAAGAAAATTAAAAGTTAAGAATATTAGTCGATTTTAATTTTTTTCTGTAAAATAACGATTTATTTGTCGAGAAACAGGACCGAGTCGTTTCTAGACGATATTGTTTGTATGTTCACAAGAATGTTGTAATATGACGACACAGTTGTAAACCATACAGAAATAGTCAAGACCCTATCCCTGATCTTAAGAAAAAAAATTGTAACAATATTACCGTAAAATAACGATATTTTTCTGACAAGAGTGTCGTAATATAAATAACAACACTTGTCGCTATGAAAGTTTACGATACAGGTATCGTAAATTTACAATACTAATTTTAACAGTGTATCTGTGGAGTGATGTACCTTTGTTCCCTGTTGTTTTTCTGTTTTGTTCCCCTAAGATAATTTTATTTGGCCAAAGTAGTTAGTCACCTTTTTTTAACACTTAGTTATACTGCATGAAAGTTATTGTTGCATGTTTAAAGTATTATTAGTTTTTAGAATCGTAGTACAAAGTGGAGGTGGGGCAACCAGCACTGTTGAGCAGGCATGGTGTCAACTTGTCTTGTGTAGTTTCCCTGCTTCCAAACAAAGCAGAAAAACAACAGGGAACAAGATGTCACCAATACTGCTAGGCTGATAGTTATTTTTTTTTTTGTAATATTTTTGTTCCCTGTTGTTTCTCTGCTTTGAAATGAAAAAAAATATTAACCAAAAAGCAAGATTATTCTAAATATTTTATTGGTCACAACACAGTTCACATTATTGTACAAAGAAAGAAAATTGTGACATTTTGATTGTTTAAGCAATGGCAATATTGTTCATTAATCAGGACCCAATCGACCCCGAGCCTCTGTACTCGGCTCTCACGCTTATAGTGAGTGCACTCGAAAAAAGCAAAACTGGTGCTTTACGACATTCGACAACGGGCTGCAGGGCTATTCCGTTTCGGTGCTAGCCATGGTCAAGGCGCTGGTTTAGCCGAAGCTAACAGGCGCTCCGTTTCGCCTGGTTTCGATGGCTCGATCCGCTCGATCCGCTCTATCGTTCCGTTGTTGCCAAGTCTGCCCCTTCCCCACCCTCACCTCCTCACCTCCTCTCGGCACCTCGGCACCCCGCCCCACTCCGGTCACTCCCATTCTATCGGCAGGCGGCAGACTTCACCATTCCGTATTCCGTGACGCACCAAGCCAAGCAGTCCATTCATCTCCATCATGAATATCGGTAAGTTCCTTCCTTCTACAAGGCGTTGCGAGTGACTGTCAACTGTCATCTGGCATAACCTCCCCAAACACGTGTCTATGTGTCTCGTCACATTTATTGATCTCGTTTTCTTATTTTGTCCTTTTGTTTCAGATCCTACAGAGAAGCAGTGGATGACGCTCATGACTATCTACGGCAACGATGTCGAAATGCAGGGTGATTACAAGGGGCCCGGGGCTGCTGGCCGGGTTAACAGCAAGTGGGAGTTGCTAGCCAATACTTTGAACGACTTGGGTGGGGCTTTTAAGTCCGGGGAGAAGTGGAAGGAGGTAAGAGCTCCTTGCTGTACGTTGCTGCTTTACACGTTGTCTTTTTTCTGTTCATTGCATTATATGTCGTTTTACAGGCTTTCGCCAACCTCAGAACCCGAGTGAAGCGGCAATATAATGAAAGGGCGAGATATGTTGGGAAGACGGGGGGAGGCCCGCCAGCCCCAGCGTCCCTTGGGATGAGCAGAGTTTACTGTCGTGCCTGGGAATTCGTTCCTAAGGAGCAGCTGTGGGGACATGAGGACGTGGCTGACCCACTGGTAAGTTATTTTACTTTTTTTCTGTCTAATTATATAGTTCAAAATCTCATCATATTCTTTGGCATTGTAGTATTTTTGAATGTGGTACCAGCAGGAGCAGCTGAAACGGCGCCGGGACGACGCACCTGTTCGATCTTATTATTTGGCTTCCTCTTCGAACAGCCCTAATCTCGCTTCCCAGCGACCCATCGCTTCACCCACCCTGTCGTCAACATCTGGCCCCAGCTCATCAACTGCTCCATCGACATCAGCTGCTCCATCGACATCAGCTGCTCCATCGACATCAACTGCTCCATCGACATCAACTGCTCCATCGACTTCTCACGCTTCTAACATCCTGTTGCAACAACAGCCAAAAGCAGGTTTGTATTCCATAGTTCATTTTGTGGCATGATGGCTGGCGCTTCTAAGGTTTACAGCCATGTTTCGCATTTGTTTCTAGGTCTGAACCTGGAGCATGTTCGAGAAGCAATAGACATGCTAACAGCCACTGTCTCAAGTGTGGGTGATTCCATAGGGGTGCACTGCATCGAGCTGTCCAAAGAAATCAACACCTTCAATTTGACTGTCGAGAAGTTTGAGGCAGCTGTACTGCGGTTTGAGGCGTCAATCGGTGTCCTTTCCCAGTTAGCTTAATGTGTGTAATTTTCGTTATTTTGTTTTGTTTTTGTTGACGAACAATATGTTCGTTTTGTCTTTAAGTTTTGTGACTTCTGTTCAATAATAAATATAGTTGACTACCTACTTCACTTCTGGTTCTTTCCTCCTGCAAAATCACTGCACAAGTAGAGCGCATTACAATATTGAATATCCAACCCCTTTAAGAAGGAACAAATGTGAAATCCCAACACTTGTTATCAAAATCAGGCCTTTAAATGTCTGAGAAACTACTGTTAACGTTGACACATTCCAGCAACATTTTCCGATAAAAAGCATTCA